TAAAAAATGAGTAAATTTAATATTTTCCCGCCGGGTTACTGTCGCACTCGTTTCAACTGTGTTTGTTTACGTTTTTTTTGTTTACGCTTTCAGATATTTGTTTACAAACTTCGCATACACTTCGCCTCAACCTTTTTTTTCTCTGACAAGAATAATAACTTTGGGCCGCTGCATGTGTACGTTTGTAACGCCTTATTTAGAAATTTTAGTCCTAATAGTCTAAACGGTTTTTCTTGCTCCTTGAATTTGTCTCAAGCTAAAATCTATGTCGTCTCAAGTTCTTTACGTACATATTATTTTAATTTTCTCAATTCAAAAAGAGAATATAAATTTTCAAAGTATACTTTACGGTCGGAATCTCTGGAATAACTATTAAAAATCTAAATTCTAAGAAAACAAAAGCAAAAAAAATAGAAAATAAGCTAATACGGTTGAAAATTGCATTAATGCTATAGTAGTCAAAAACTTATGAAAAACATTTTTGCACGTTTTCCCTTTTTTCTCTAGATATTTGGCCGCCGAATGTCCTCCTGACAGACGAGAGTAATAAAATTCTAATTTAGCACTAGAGCGCTCTAGCTTATTTTTCCAAAAAAAAAAACTATCCTTTGAGATATAGAATCTCCTCGTTATCCTTTCTCCAATATTCTCCACTCCATTTTCGTTAATTGTCGCTTTTTCTGAGTTTTTTTTGGCAATGAAGACTCCCATGTGCTCTGTAATTTTCAGTTTATTGATTTTTCATGGCTGAGTCAAAACTAACCTTTAGAATTATTAAATTATCATATGTTGACCTTCTCATCAACAAAACTTCATGAAAATTAAATTAGCTCGATGAATTTTTTGGATTCTTCTCTTCTGAAAATTTTTGGATACAGTTTTTTTCTAGAAAGACAAGGAGCAATTCAAACAAAATCTTTATAACTTTTCAAAAAAAAAACTTCAAAATTCAATAAAAATTAGTTTAAAAAAGAAAAAAGAAGACGAAAAAGAAATAATTTTTTTCTGTATTGATTTTCGTTCGAAACTCCGCCCCTTTTTAGTCGCGCCTCAATTCATGTTTTGATCTACCTTTCAAAAAAATTTTTTTTTTCAATTTTGAAATTTTTTGGAAAAATTTTTTGTTTTTGGAGAACAGGTGCCAGTCGAAGAAGATTTGTAATGTTAAGAATGTCTAGTTGAAAAGATAAGCGAAAAAAGATTTTTTTTAAAAATTCAAAAAAATCGTCTGATGAGGAACATGAAATTGTGTGGTTTTTGCCGAATTATTTAGTTGCCTGGGGCATCTACCCTCCAACCCCTTCTAAAGGTTCCTTCTAACCACGCAACGACACTCCGCTATCCCGCTCGGCGCGCGCACAGTTTAAATTTAGGTTTTGAGTGATTGCGAGCTTGGATTTGGCTCGTAGTTTTGCTAGAGACCCTTTTAAGGATTTTTAGTGAGTTTGCTTGAATTCTAAGCTTTTATTTGTTGTTTCTTTCTAACTTGTTCATAATAAACCGATTTTTTACATTTCTTGTTGATTTTCGTCTATTTTATCACAGGAACCTGATACCCCGGACGTACCGCGGGCAGTTATTTTCTTGTTATTTTGGGAACTTTTTCTTATATATTTCCGGAGTTCTACAGAATTTTTTTTGAAAAAAAATTTTGTAAAGCAGATCAAAACTAGATCATTTTTTGAACTCCAGATATGGCCTCAATAAATAGTTTGCGACTTCAAATCCTCTTTTTTCATCAAACTTTTATAAATGATAGAAAATGCTTCATCTATTGTCTATTCAAAATAATCGCGCGGGTGAACGAGTAAAAACCCTGCGTCTCTACAGTGCCTCTACAGCTCAGGTAAATCGGAAAACCTTTCTGAGCTACACTTGAGAAATTCTGAAACCTTTTGAAGCAAAAAGTCCGCGAATACACTTTTGCAAGCCACAAAAAAACTTTTAAAACCTTTTAAAGCAATTTTTAAACTTTATCCAGTCGCACTCGAAGGTGAGACTTTTTAAAGCCACATTTAAACTTCTTAAACCTTTTTAAGCAACATTTAAACTTTTTTAAACTTTTTAAGCCTAAATTTTGTTTTTCAGATTTAGAATTCGATTTCGTTTTTTGTCCGTTTTTTTTTCAAAATGTTCGCTTTATATTTTATTTTTTCTGTCGCTCAACTTGCGCTTAATGCTTCTACTTTGAGTTATTTTGCTGAAAATGGCTCCCCCGATCAAAAGAATTCGTTTGTCAGCAAAACAAATCCTACTTCCAACGTTTGAAAAAAATAGGCTAGGTAATTCCCGAGTTGTGAGTACTTAATTAGGCTGTATTTTAGAGGTATTCTATCCAACGAACAGGCGAAATTGTGAATCACGAAGCGCTCGATGATCCGTTTGAGCGAACTTGTTTATTATCAGTAGGGCGTGATTATGAAGAGTTTGAAGCAGCAAACGGATTATCAGAAGCGAATTCCCTCGGTGATAATAACGATAAGCAATCTCGAAACTATTTATATAGTAAATTGAGTGATCAGGAACTGTCACAGCTGAGCTATTTAAATAGTAACACGCAATCTATGTAAGAAAGTTTTGAAATTCATGGAAACTACGAAAATTCAAATGGCAAATGTTCTCGGAAGACGTGACAACAGTGTGCAGTTAAACGACGTCCCGAATCCAATGGTATCTGTGAACCCAAAACTCTTCACTTCTGAAGACGTGGTTGTTCCAGATTTATATCAATTAGGTATAGAAAATTCCTCATATTACATTTTTAACGCATCGAAAATTTCAGAGAATGAAGAAGAGCGCCGACACATGTATGTTTGATTTTATATGGGAAGTTTCGGAGCGAAACATGGAAGCTTGAAAACCGTTGTAGCCTTATATACTACTAGGTTTATTGATTTCTTGATGCCAAGAGAAGATCGAAGACTCTATTCTGAAAAGGCGAATCCATCAAAGAATATCAAATTTCCTGATTTCCATAAAACTAAACTTTCGTGTTAGTTGGGATTCTTCACACTTACGATTACGATTTTGACGATATTTTTTAATAAAACAATTTTAGAATATCTAACACAAGTAATCACGATTCTGGAACCAACAGGAACAATCAGTGGCACAGGTTTGGAATATTGGGTTCCCGCTCTCATTGAATGCGAACTACGAAGCATATTGTAAGAAACGAGTTTTTCGAAAAGAAACCTAAAAAGTTTTGCAGTAAAAATGGAGCGACAAAAGGCAAAGAAATAGCGAAACACTGTGTCAAGTTCCTACCCGCGAGAAGTCGAAAATGGAGAGAATATTCACGAGTCCGGATCTAACGGCACTGGGTACAATTAATTAAGAATAATTGAGTAAAAAACATGATTTTCGTAAAAAATGATTACAGTATTGTCCGGTAGGTTACCGGTTTTTATCTTCTTCACCCTCTTTCCAAGTCTACAGGAGAGAAATCTCCCCCGATAAATACATGCAAACGAAAGTGGGTCACAGTACCCGCGCGAATTTAAAGTGCGCGCCAACAGACACTTCTCTGTTTTCTCTGGGCATCTCCCCTCGGGGTCTCTCTCATCGTTTCCCCTTCAGTTCTTGCTTGGGAGTGCGTTCACACTGGTGACGCCTCCATTTGTTTCAACTCACCTTTAATAGGTTGATTTATTGTTGATTCAACAAATAGTGTTTTATAGGAAATCTGTGTTTTAGTGTCTTCTAGTTTTTCAGGTTACAAAGGTCTCTTTGAGTGCATAGAGGTTCTGTGAGTGCATAGCGTTTGTCTGTGTCTCTCACTCTCTCTGCATTTCGTTGTTTTCAATAGTGTCTTTTATCAGTTAGTGTTTCTGGAGGTCTTTCAGTTACATTACTTGGGGGCCGAAGGCTTTTTCCGGGACTTTTTCGGTCTTTTGTGTGAATCTTCTACTTGATTACGTTCTATCGCTTCTTTGCTCTTGTTTACTTCGTTCTATCAGTCTCTTTGTCGTTTTCACCCGTTTCTTTGCCGTTTTTATCGATTTTCACTAAAAAGGCGTTCTGTCCGGCCACCGGCAGCTTCTTGCCATATTCTCTGCGATTTTCGATCTCTTGTAAATTGAGAAGGCGTTCTGTCCGGGCACCGGCAGCTTCTAGCCACTTTTCTCAGTTTGTGGGAGTTAAATTAGCTCGATTAGCTAAGGATCGGAGGACATAGTACTGGAATCGACGTCGCGAGTGAGTGGAGAGGAGTGGTGAACAATTCGCCAGCGTGTGTGTGAGAGGAGTAACCGAATTTCGAAGGAGTGTCGAGTCAAAAATTGGAAATTGTTCGATTTTGCCAAATTGGGACTTCAATTGTGTGTCAAAAGAAGGAAGTGTTTCAAAGAAGAACTGATTGCTTTCCAACAAGAATTCGTGAAGTTTTGTGTCGGGAACTGACTTTTCGCCTGAAAATCAGCCAATTTGGTAGCAATGGTATCAATTTCATCGGGATTTTATCGATTTGTTGTGCTCAAATTTGCTTCTTCCCGTTTTCTGCTCAAAATAGCATCTCTACTTGGAAAAGTGTAAAAATTTGAATATTTTGCAGCAAGTTTCGGAGGAACCAATGGATGACCTTCTGGAATCGCCGACTTCGTCGAACGGGATGGAAAAATCAACGTTGCTGCAGAATCCGAACGAGTCGCTCGTCAACGAGCTACTAAACTGGGAAATGCCAGTGCCAGTGCAAAAGGAAACGGTGTCCGATGATGTGGAAATGAAAGAGGTTGAGGATCGGAAGAAAGCGGAGAAAGCTGAGAAAGCCGGAGGAGCCGAAAGAGTAGAGGAAGGGGTTGCTACGGAAGCTGAGAAGAGCACCAAGGTAAGAATGGTGTGGGAAAAACAGTGCTGTGCAGAAGAAGATGAGGAAGCAAGAAAGGAAGCACTGGCTAATTTGATGAAATATGCCAAAGGATCATTGATTCATTTGGAAGGAATTTTAAAACCGTTAGATAAGCGCATTGAGAAGAAAAATGGAATGATTGAGTTAAAAAATTCCGAAATTGTCGAAATGAAACGCATCAATGCCATCTTGGAAAACGAAATTCTTGACTTACAGATCGATGGAAACCGGCTCGAATCGCCACGTCGCCCCGACTCCACGAAGGTTAAGAAGGTTACTGAGGAGTAAAGTCGTCTACTAAGTTGGTTAAAGAATATGGATATACATGCGCTTGAAGACATGAAGGAGATATTCCGAAAGACTGAGAGCATCAAAAAGCAAAAAGCCACTCTAGATGAATTGGTCAACGCAACTGAAACTGAGAAAAACTGGTTACAGGCTCAACTCACAAAGCAGCGGCAGCAGTGGAATGAGGACAAACTGAAGATGAGAATGCTGGAAGAGCGAGTTCGGCAGTATGAGGAGGAAGATAAGTGGAAGGTGGGAAATTCGCAATCGAATTCATACTCGAGAATAGGTAAGAACAAAGAAAGTACGGATGAGAATAGTGCAAAAAATGGCTTTCAGACACAGGGAGACGCTTTCCCATCTGGACCATCAACTCGTCGACGTATGCCAATGGAGGACAAGTGCCATATGCAAGGTGAGTGTGGAAATAGCGAAGAGTTGGGGGAGAGAAGAGAAAGGCCGCGCACGATGATGGAGGGTGTTAACCTGAGTTATGGGGCGCATGGAGATGAAAGTGGAAGGGAATATGAAGAAGAAGTGAAGCAGGGTTATTATCAGAGTGTATGGGGGCAGGGAAGACAGACACATCATCAAGGCGAACAGGGGGAAGGTTGGAAGATGGTGCTGGCGCACAAACGCTACCGGAGCCTTCCGTATTCTCGGCTGAAGGAAAGAATCCCAGCTTGAATGCTTTCGAGAAAGCTTTCACTTTGAAATTCGGAATGTGTCCAGAGGAGCACAAGGTTATTCTACTGGAAACCAAGTACCTATCGGGAAAGGCTGGGAAGATCTTCAGAGGGTTGTAGGAGTGTGAGAAAACGACCGTGAAGAAGGTGTTCCAAGCACTTGCTAACAGGTTGCGGGTATCGCCGGCAGATGAGGCTATGCGAGCAAGAAATAGGTGGTCACGTGTACTATTCCATTCAGTCATCTGGCGGTAACGAAGAATTAGCCAAAGAAACGCTCCTCTCCTTTTTCCTGCACGTGCTGGATATCCATGAAGATTTTCAGGTTATTTCCAATTTTATAACCTCCAAAATTATGGAAACAAATTTTTTAGAATTGTGATTGGTTAGAATTCAAAATGGTTAATTCCTGCGAGCACAAAGAATATGATGAAATGAACAGAAAAAGACCAGATTTTCTGGATATCGAAAATCCCATTCACGTCAAAGCTCTGAATGCTCTCTTAAATATCATTGAAAAAGGGGACCGATGTGAGGCCATCGGAAAAGTGTCGCCTTATTTCGCTACCAGCGCAGTGGAGTCTTTCAACGCAAGAGCTGCCTTCTATGCAAGCAAGAAACGATTCTAGTATTAAAGGAGGGCAGACAGCAAAAATTTCGGGGAAAATTTCAGGGAATGTGTATTTTGCCGTCGCGGTGTTCGCACCTAAAGCACGCAATCCCACGCGCAAACATTTTTATTTTTTTTATTTCCCGACTTTATTTTTTTCAATTTTTAACGACTTCAAACATTAAAAAAGCTCTTTTTTCTTATTTATTATAAAACCCATATAAAAGTGAACTTTTTATGTAAATTTAAAGTTCTATCGACCAATTATTTTGCCAGTCGCCGGTGTTTTTTATAGGCATGCGAAAAAAACTATTTTCTCTTCGATAAACGTTTCTTCACTGTTCCTATTTATCTCATTACTTCTCGTTATTACTCTAGGAATAAAAACTGTTTTATGACTAGGGTTTTCAGAGACGTCTCCATTTTTACTGCTTCCTTCACCTTCCGACGACCAGCCCTGCACGAGGATTGTTTTAATTATGTGGTTTTTTTCAATTGTTATGTCTCTTTCTAAAAATTAATTGTAGTTTTTTTCATAATTTATTTGTTAACATAATAAAACAAGTTTCTTCATTTTCAACTGATTTTGGTACCTCGGAGCGAGGCCTCGGCGGCACGCTGGTAGCCCTTCAGAAATTCCGAGTTCAAAAAGTTCAATCCGAAGGAAACAAGGGAAGAAAAAAGTAAAAACACCAGCAGGGATTGAACCTCTGACCTCCTGAATACCAGCCTAGAGCGTACCCACTACACTACGCGTGTAAAAGGCGACCATCGCGTTTTTCACATTATGAAGCGACGCCGCAGCAGCAAGCTAGTGAAGAAATTAGGGTGACAAAATAGAGCATTTTTTCGTCCTTGAAGTGTTTTTTTCAGGTTTTTAAGTACATAGCTATATTTATACTTCAGAGTTATATCTTTTCAGTAAAAATGAAAATTTTGAAATTTTTGATGTCTACCCTCCTTTAAATATTATCATTATTCTAAGAAAAAATAGTTTTTAGCTCGGAAAAAGGATTCAACAGCAGAACACAACTTGCCGTTATGGGCTGGAACAGCAAACAGTGGGATGAGCTCAACGGTAAACGCGTTGTAGTTTCAGAGAAACGATTTTTTAACAAGACTACTAAGCATTGGTCGGTTCGAAAACTGAAGACACCAGCGGACTATACATTCAGAACTGAAATTGCACAAATTACTGTGCAGCTATAAGAAAAAGGTTTCACAATACACTGAGAAAAAGTAGCTAGGGTAATTTTGAATTTTTTAGAGAAAATAGCTAACAATTCTGATGGACCAGAAGAGAAAGATGACGAATCTGATTTCGACGAGCAAGAATTGGATCATGAGTTCGCAGAAGACATGTGTGAAGTGAATATAAAAATTAAGCTGGCAGCATGTGTTCTATCAAAATTATAGGTTGACGATATTTGGAGCCGCTTGCGACTAGCCGATACCGACGAAGAAGAAGAAGAAGAAAATGAAGACGAAAAAGAAGACAGTGATAGCAGCATGAACGAAGAAGGAATGAAAATGGATGAAGATGAGGAAGAAGAGGAAGATGAGGAAAACAATGAAGTGAGAATGAAGAAAAAGAAACGAGAAGAGCGAAAGATGAAAGCAAGAAAAGAAACGAAAACTGGTCACTAGAAATTTACTAAATTGTCAAAACTGTCATACGAATTTCTAACATATCTTCGATTCTCACTCAAAATTTTCCAAAAACGGGGAAAAATCAAATTTTCATATCATCTCTTTCAGAAAACACCTATTTATAAAGTTACTGGATTTGGTGAAGAGAACTAAGTTTTTCAATTTCGATAAAACCAACGAATTTCTGTTAAAAAACTTCGATAAAATTTCATTGTCTCTTTTATTTTATTGTTATATAATTTCAACTTATTTTCAACTGAATAAAGCAACAAAATACGTTCACAGCGGAATAATCAAATTGTGGCTCTAGACAGCTAAATTCTACTCGGAGAGAAAGGAAAATGGATGAGAATTGGCGAGAAAAAAAAATCTACAATAACAATTAAACAATTTAGTACATATTTAAAGGTGGGGGGACATGAAAAAAATAATGTTCTCGAAATTCCGTTCAAAGATGCCTCTCGAGGAGTTGAACTTGTGAGGGCGATGATTGAAGGCGCGGCGCCGCTACCGACTGAGCCACGCGGGCAAGGAGAAAGCGCACGCCCGTTTGCATACATAAAGGCGAGGACGACAGCTGTACGCAGAGTGACATTAAGCGTTGTACACCGTGACGGTAGAATGCATACTCTAGCTACAAAAAAACTACGAAAAATCTCCTGTCCCCCCACCTTTAAAGTAGAAAAATTATAAAAAGTTTGATAACAGGCGAAATAAATGCAAAAAAAAATTCGGTGAAAAAAAAATTCCTGTCGTCAGGTGTGGCGCATGCGTCGCAAACACTTTTTTCTGTACACCATAACGCAAATAATGCATACTCTGGCCCCGAAAATCCCCCGTAAAATCTCCTGTCCCCCCACCTTTAAAGAGAATGGACAGGAATGGGAAAAGACCGTGAAGATTGAGCCTCCTCGGTTGACAAAAGTTTTCGCTGCTAATAACGAGCCAATGACCATGACTTCGTTGATCACAGTAGAAACGTCACTGCAGTCAAGAACTCGAGAAATTGCATTCCATCTGACTAATGTAGAACGGGATACTATAATCTTGGGAGCGGATCAGTTTGAGGAAATGGGAATACAAATGAGCATCGACTCCTACCCGCGAAACATCTGGCTGTGCAGAGATGTGAAAATTAAGCGGATTCCCAACTCATTGTGCCGGTGCAGATTGAAGGTGTTGTAAAGCAAGAAGAGAGTTACTGTTTAATGTCGCCGAGGGTGCAATGGCTAGCTCCGTCAGTGTGTCAAGCTAACAGTGAAGGAAAAGCCTTAGAGAATCTTTTCAACAGTTCAAGCACACCACTTGAATTGAAGAAAGGAGATGTTATTGCTGTGGGAGAGTTGGAAGGGTTCGACGTGGTCGGTGATAAAGCAGAGCATATGGAAGATGAAGCGTTAGATGAATACATCAATTCATTGGGGTTTCATGAACAGGAAAATGCCATTAGCATAAATGAGATCAGTGTGACAGGGAATGATAGGTTGAAGGTGATATGTGAGCAATTAAAGAAAGGAGAAGTGACGCCAGAAGAGGAAAGAGTGTGGAAAGTGGTTGAAGAGTTTCAAGACACATTTGCAATCGACGACTGCGAATTAGGAAAGGCAGAAGTCGTGCAATGTGAAATCGAGCTGAAAGAGGGAACAGAGCCAATACGGCAACGTCCACGCCCAATCCCATTAGCAATTCGTCCTGAAATCAAAGAGATGATCAGGAAAATGCTAAAACAAGGAGTTATTCGCGAAAGCAGATCGCCTTGGTCCTGCCCAGTTGTACTTGTGAAGAAAAAAGATGGAACGGTGCGGATGTGCATTGATTACAGAAGGGTCAATAAAGTAGTCAAGAACAATGCACATCCCCTCCCTCACATTGAATCCACGTTGCAGTCTTTAGTTGGGAAGAAAATATACTCGACTTTGGATTGTCTCGCGGGTTATTGGCAAATTCCGCTTGCAGAGGGTTCAAAACAAATAACAGCTTTTGCTATCGGGAGCGAGTTGTTTGAGTGGAACGTGTTGCCCTTCGGTCTCGTTACCTCACGAGCTGTCTTTCAAGCTACCATGGAAATGGTTGTGGAAGATCTCTTGGGAAAATGTGCTTACGTCTATGTTGATGATTTGTTAGTGGCGAGTGAGACATTGGAACAGCATGCTGAGGATCTTCGAGAGATTCTCTTGCGGCTGCGTAAGAGTGGGATGAGATTGAAGGCAAAGAAGTGTCACATTGCTCGAATGGAGGTTGAATACCTTGGTCATATGACAACACCAGGAGGGGTAAAAACGGAATACTTGAAGGTGGAACGTATGTTGAATTACGAAAGACCCACCGACAAGAAAGGCGTACACTCATTCATTGGATTGTTTGGTCACTATCGGCGTTTCATATGGAACTTTGCAGCAATGGCATGCCCACTGACTCCACTAACTTCTAGTAAGAGAGAATGGGTCTGGGGCGAAGAGCAGGAGACTGCATTTTAGGATCTAAAGAAGGCTCTATGTTCGGCGCCTGTCCTGATACAGCCTGATGTGGAGGCAGCGATGACGGGGGAAAATCCATTTCTGATCTACACAGATGCATCAAAAAAGGGAGTCGGAGCTGTGCTCGCGCAATTGGGAGAAGATGGTGAACAGCATCCTATCTTGTTCATGTCAAAAGCACTAACACCCGCTGAAACTCGATACCATGTGACTGACCTGGAAGCGTTAGCCATCCTTCAGGCGCTAAAACGATTCAAGGCGATCATTTATGGAGCACAAATCATCGTTTTTACTGATCACAAACCATTGATGTACTTGCTCAAAGGATCTCCATTGTCAGATAGGCTTCTCAGGTGGTCCCTGGAGTTCATGGAGTACAATATGAAAGTAGTCTATGTTGCGGGAAAGGCTAATGCGGTTGCCGATGCGTTAAGTAGAGGAGGTTGTCTCAAATTGGAAATTGATGATGCAGAAACAACTGATCTCATTGGTTCCTTAGAGGTAGAAGAAGGGGAAGAAAGTAACGAGTTGGAAGTAGCGAAATGGTTCGATTGGCTAAAGGAAGAAGAGGGTTGGAGAGAGGTGATTCAGCTATTAGAAAGTGGTGTCAGCGTGGGAAAAGTGAAAGTGGAGGGGCAGAAGAAAAAAATTCTGGTGCAGAATTATATGATAATTGGTGGAAGGTTGAAGAATATTGAGATGGAAGAGAAGAATAGATTGGTTGTGCCGGAGAGAGAAAGGCTCAAACTGGTCACACAAGCACATTCTGGTCCTCTGTCAGGACACTTCGGAACTGACAAGGTATGGAAGCAGCTGAAAAAAGAGTTCTATTGGCCAACAATGAGAGCATTCATCGAGAAGTTTATCAAAGGTTGCACGAAGTGCTTGTGCGTAAATGATCGACCTCGATTAACGGCTCCGTTGCATCCTTACGAGACCACATCACCTCTCGAGATCGTCGCTTGTGATTTGATAGACGTGGGATTATCTACACTAGGAAATCGTTACATTCTTACGATGATTGACTTATTCACAAAAATTGCTACAGCTGTACCAATTCAGGACAAATGTGCAGAAACTGTCATGAGAGCTTTCATCGAACGCTGGGCGCTGGGGGAATGTAGAATCCCAGAGATGCTATTGACTGATCAAGGAAAAGAGTTTGCTAATGACCACTTCAAAAAGTTCACGCAAATGATGGGAATTGAACATGTGATGACTAAGGGATACAATAGCAGAGCTAATGGGGCTGTAGATCGTTAACAAAACATTGATGCATATTATTGCTAAAAAGGCAGCGGTGCCTATGGAATGGGATGCACAGGTTCCATTTGCTGTGTATGCATACAACACAACACTACATGGAACAACAAGAGAGTCGCCATTGTTCTTGATGACCGGAAAGGATCCAAAGGGCCCACTCCAAATGGCCGGTGTGGATGCCGATGGCATTAGCTATGTGGATATAGATGAATACAAACATCTAATGACACAGGAATTGTTGAAAATTCACAAAATGGCGCGTAAAAATGCAGAATGGGAGCGGGGCCGGAACAAGCATTTGTTTGATGAGAAACTTAAAACAGAAATGCGGAAGTATCCACAACCAGGAAGCAGAGTATTGATTGAAATACCATCGGAAAAGTTGGGAGCGCGGTGTCCTAAGTTGGTGAACAAGTGGAGGGGTCCTTATCGGGTAATCTCTTGCTCTGAGAATTCTGCCACAGTGACTCCAATTTTGGGAAAGGATAAGGAAAAAAAATAGTGCTTGTGATTCCGTTCGACACTATGAGAGTGGTGCCAGCAGAAATGGAAACGGTGCCTATAGTGACAGTAAAGGAAAGAACCAACATGCGCGCGGTAGAGACTTATGGAAACTTCGTTAATGAGTTAAAACAAACAGAAAATAAGGTTGATTGTTTTTTCAGTGAGCTCTACTCATGTCGATGTCCCACAATCTGTTGGTTTTGGCCAGCAGATGCACCCAATCTGAAGACGACATCTCCTACTTAATTGGTCCGTCTCGTTCAACTGGCTCGTCAACGGAAGGAGGTGATGAAAGCGAAGAAAGACGTGGCACCAGAGGCAACGTCGGATGTGTCGGGTAGACCTCATCAAGATAGGGCAGAGCAACTTCAGTGGGAGCAGGAAGCTATGCTCCTTTCGCAAGGACCGCATCCAGATTTTAATGGACTTCCTGACTACGAAGCCTGCATGCGTTTGTCTCGGTGTCCCTCAATGATGTTAGTGGCAACAACACTACCCGGATGGAAAGATGCTTTCGATTTCCAACGAGCCCAGTTTCTACAGAAGCATTTTAGATCCGATCTGTTCAAACCAAAACTTTTTCATTGTGTCCGCTTGCCGGGAGTCGCCGAAAAGGAAGTTCCACTGAGTCAGAAGGTGTTCCAAATCAACTCTAAGCAGGAATATGTGGATGCAGAAGGGCCCAAGGAAATCAGAAAGGCGAAGAGTGTTCTGATGGTGGTGCCTTTCACTACGGAAGAGACGGAAATTGAGTCATGGAATAGATACATCCAAAAAGTCGATTCTAAGGTGGAGATTTGGCTGGTGCCATCACCCAGGATGGATCTGAATGCTGGAAGAATAGTGACATTTGGGAATTTGTTGTCTCAAATGCAACGAGGAGACGGTGGACCTTTACATGTATTCTCCCCTGATGATCAGAATAAGGAACATCCCCTGTGGAGCATTGCATTCAACAAGAATTTCCGTGATTACTGGAGGAACGTGAAGGCGATAGCCGATGCCAAGAAACTCAGGTGGCCTGGATTCCATGTGGATGATAAGGTGGATCGCAAGCCAGAAGATGCCGCAACGGCTTCTACCAGCTCTTCCTCGCGAAAAATCGATCGCCCGACCTCTTCCAATTGCCCCAGATATCAACTTTATATCACAACCACAATGCAGAAGGCTGGAAAAGGAAGATATCAGCATCAATAGCCAGCGTCAACGAGTCCAATTCATAATTAAATAATTTTCTCACTAATAATCTTGTTTTGTTAAAGTTGTAATAATCTTTTGTCATCATCCCCACCTAGAGACTCATGTCGCACATCTTAGAGATTCCTTAGTGCCCAGTGTTACTCTATTTTCAGTATTTTTACACCCCTACCCGGCTCATTATGAAGTGTATTGCTTCAATGAGTGATATCTTGCCCCTTTCCCTTTACCTGTTTGCTGTTTTATGCACCCGATCCCCCAAATCATCTCCCTTCTCCCTGGTATGAGTTTTTCTTGCCCCACTGCGTGCATCTCTTCAAATTGCACACATTCTTATTATCTCCTCTTTGTCCCTTTTTTCTTTTTGCTCATTGTTTTTCCTGTGTGTTGAGGCAAGCACTGGTTTGCTCGTTGCATGTGCGGGGACTCGTAAAAGGACGGAGATGTCCGGTAGGTTACCGGTTTTTATCTTCTTCACCCTCTTTCCAAGTCTAAAGGAGAGAAATCTCCCCCGATAAATACATGCAAACGAAAGTGGGTCACAGTAACCCGCGCGAATTTAAAGTGCGCGCCAACAGACACTTCTCTGTTTTCTCTGGGCATCTCCCCTCGGGGTCTCTCTCATCGTTTCCCCTTCAGTTCTTGCTTGGGAGTGCGTTCACACTGGTGACGCCTCCATTTGTTTTATCTCACCTTTAATAGGTTGATTTATTGTTGATTCAATAAATAGTGTTTTATAGGAAATCTGTGTTTAGTGTCTTCTAGTTTTTCAGGTTACAAAGGTCTCTTTGAGTGCATAGAGGTTCTGTGAGTGCATAGCGTTTGTCTGTGTCTCTCACTCTCTCTGCATCTCGTTGTTTTCCATAGTGTCTTTTAGCAGTTAGTGTTTCTGGGAGTTCTTTCAGTTACATTACTGTATGACTAAAGGTTATAGCGATCCACCCGAGACCCTTCCTCGTCGAAATATGTTCCTTTAAAAGTATACGGTAGATCTCGTTACGCCTTTTAGCGCTAAATGAAAATGCTGGTTTCTTTTCTCTTCGTAGTTTCTTCTCTATGTTATTTTTTCACTAGGCCGTGCAAAATTGGAGTTAAATTCCTAGGCCACTCTTCCTATTCTCTTATTTTGTTTTGTTGGTTTTTAATAAATTCTTTTTTTAATCCGTCTTGAAAAATCGATTTCAGGTACGAGACAAATTTTTCCAAGCAATGAAGAAGCTTATTCAAGCGACGACAGAACTATTATAAGCCATTTTTTCATACTTGTAAAATTCCGGGCCGGGCCTGAGAAAAATTTCAAGGCCCGGGATTTTCTATATTTTTTTTGTGCTTTTTGGATTGTTTGTCTGTTTGATCAAAAAATATTGTTAAAAACTCGAAAAAAATTTTTTGATCAAAAAAAATCACATAAGGGTCCCCCCCCTTATGTGTTTTTCAAGAAACGAATAAACCTTTTTGAGCAACAGTAAAACTATTCTTAGCACTTTTAAACTTTTTCGAGAAATGGATAGGCTTTTCTAAGCAACAACGAAACTATTCTAAGCCCTTTATAAACTTTTCTAGCCGTGGCTAATCGGACACCTTTTTTAGTTTAATTGTGGCTTGTTTATGGCTCAGAAAGGTTTTCTAAACTACCTGAGAGGTTAGGACACTCTCTTCACGTTTTTTTACTCGTTCACCCGCGCGATTATTTTGAACAGACAATATAAGTTTTGTCTGAAAATCCCCAATTTGTGATAATCGAAAACTTCAGTGAGTTGCTTTTTTTTTCAAAAAAAATTTAATATTATGTTTTTCGTTGAAGAGCTGAGAAAAGGACGCGCGAGATTAAAGGCGCACACACTTTCCAGGCGCCGCGGGTCTCGAAGCGATCATGCCCGAACGGGCATGAAACTCGAATTTCGAAATCATTCTACGTGTTTTAACGAGGTCGTGTGTGTTTTTTGTCGATTTTTTTGGATTTTTTTGAATTTTTCTGTTGAATTCGTGTAGAAAACGGTCATTTTGACTGTTTTCAATGGTCGTATTTATCTTCGTAGCTAAAATATTGTTCAGGAATGGCGGAATCTGTCGATAAAGATGCTCTGAAGCAATTCGGTGAAGAAATTTTGGGTAAGATGGCAGAGATGGTGAAGGAAATCGGAACTGACAAGAAGAAGAAGGTGAGAGAGGTAGAGGATGAGAAGCCACCGAAAGTTTCGTCGAAAGGCATTCAGAAGAACTTGGATTTCAACTTCAAAATCCGAAATATTTAAAATTTTTTTGAAGATTTTTTAATTCTGCAGCGCTAATTTCTGCATTTTTTTCCGGGAAAAATATCTCAAAATGTTTCCGATGAATGACAAACATCGATTGGCTATCATTCTTCATACTTATTTCTCGACATGGTATTAAACATATCACATGTCCTTTTTTTACTTGTCCAAAACTATCCCATCAAAATTCCTGATGCTCCAGTGGTTTCAAGACAAGAGAAGAAATTAGCTAGAGTCCTATGCAGTCTTCTAGACCAAACCAAAGAAAGCGAATTGACGATTGAGGAGACAGAAGAAGTGAGAGATGAAGAATGTGGAGACTGGGAAGCCGAGGAGTTTGAGGTAACTTTTTTTAAACATCCCGGTTTTACTGAATTCTGTCGCAGCCCTACGATGACTTCGTGTTACCTGCTCACGACTGTTTGAGAATTGGAGATAAGGCCGTGTCCAGAGAGGATGCCCAGGCAGCTATTGACTACTACCGTAATACTACAAAAGGATCCCGTCCATTGTCTTCCATGGTTTCTCGTTTTCGGTGGATTACGGATGCGAAGCATATGGAGAAATTGAGAGCATTTGAAAAAGAAAAGAATGAATTCAAAGAAAATCGGACCAATTTGTTGAGACTTTTGAGCCAACGGCTCTACGAAATTGTTAAAGAAAAATTGGAGACAGGTATTTTCGACAGTTTCATTTTTTTTAAAGAATTACAATTCTAGGATTTTCTCTTCATGTGCTCGACTTGCAAAGATTTGCTCTCTATATCAACAACAAAGAAACCAAAATTCAAGGATTCAAAGCTTCGCATAGCTGGATAACGTCGTGGAAATCTTCGCACAGGTTCTGGTATACCTCATGCATATTTTGAATTCTTTTTTTAGAATCGTCAGTCGAAAGATAACAAAATTTGTTACCCGGAAATGTATGGTTGATAAGGAACTGATAAAAAAGAAGGCTAAAGATTTTGTGAATTTTTGCCGAAGAGAGATGTCCCTGTTCAGTCCGTCCATGATCTTCAACTCTGATCAAACTGGTGTGCAAAAAGAATTGTACGGTGCTCGGAGTTTGTAATGGGGCCCAAAGCATTCATGGTGCTAGCTGAACCAACTGGCATCTTTCCACCTTCTCGACCAATTCCAAATGTTCCAAATCTCGAAGTGAGGGCAGGAAAATCCCACATCATGACCAAGGATTTGATGAGAGACTGGTTGAAATGCTGTGTGTTCATCCCCGAGAACCCAAAGAAAATGTACATGTTGGTGGACAGTTGGCCAAGTTTCACAGACCATACTGCTATTGAGCAGTGTATCCCGGCCGGTTTTGATGTCACCATTAGGAATATTCACCCACACACCACCGGTCTTATACAGCCTCTTGACGCGCATTGGAACGGACCATTCAAAATATGTCAATCAAAATTATACCACCAATAAATTCATTCAGAGCCTTCTCAAAAAATTCATGGCGTATGCTTTGGCGTTCCACGCCGACTATATTATTATTGCCCAGAGGAATAATGAGATTTGGATGATTTCACTTCTCTTTCACCAAATCTCTCCGAATATTTCAAACCATTTTTGCAATATTCGTGGAAAAAACTGGGTATATGGACTCCTCCACTGTTTTTGAGACTCCAGCCAAATTCTGTTTCGAACAAGTCGGTGAGAAGGACTGCCACGAGCCAGGATGCCTTGAACTATCATTCATTAGATGCGCTCGTTGCAAAGAATACATTTGTTTTTCGCACTTCATCATTGTAGATAAGCACTTGTGCCCACATAAATAAAGTTTTATAATATTTTTATGCTTTGAAAATTTAAAACTTGGAACATTTTCAGAACTTGCAAAATTCCAAATAATTTTTCATTCGTAGAAAGATTTTTCACATGACATTGCACTTCCAGGAATTAAAAAAAAATCTTCAAAAAAATTTAAAAAACTACAACATTTTCAGACTTCCAGAGGGATCAGAAAAAAAACACAAAAAATTATTGGGGGGAGGAGGGGTCGAACCTATGGCTTGTCAGATATTGCCCTTCCCTCCTCGCCACTACACCACACTTCGCTGGTTTCCCCCCTTCTCCCAATGCGTATAAGAAAGAGGGAAGATGAGGCGCTCGGCGGACTCAAATTTGAGCCAAATTTCAAACCTGTTTTTCTCGAAACTGGTGAGCCCGCAGCGGAATCTGAATATAGATTTGAAAATGTCTCATTCTCAGCTTTCGAATGATATATGTCTCTTATCGAATTTCCATACCCCAGTTACAACCTTCCCTAGTAAGTGTGATTGAAGATGGTTTTAAGATTCAATTAAACTCAAATGTAGTGCTACCAGAGCCTCAGGGCTTGAGACCGTCAGTGATACGGCACAAAGAATTTTTGGTTGCAGAAATTGAGAGGCTGGAGGCAGAGGGCGTTTTGACGCGATCGGACCACCAACCACGATGTGTGTCTGCATGTTGTAGAGCAAGGTAAGAAAAAGAGAATGATTCTCGATTTGAGTGAGTTGAACGAGAGCCTCGTTCCTCCTCGGTTTAAGCTAGAAAACCTCAAGACTGCCTGGCCATTTCTAGAAGACGCGCGCTATGCGGCCACATTTGATTTTAACTCAGGCTATCATCATATTAAAATACACAAAGAATCTCAAGATCTTTTGAGCTTTACGCTGACAAATCCCCCTACTGCTCCTTATTTTTCGTTTAGAGGTTTGCCTTTCGGTTTGTCGACAGCTCCTCGGCTGTTTACTAAAATCTTCAAAGTTTTAGTTCTAAAATGGCGGGCAGAGGGATAAAAATCTTTCTATATCTGGATGATGGATTAATTGTGGGCAAGACGGAGAGTGAGGTCGCGAGGGCAGTGAGAAAGGTGAGAGAGGATCTGAACAGTGCCGGAGTGTGCGTGGCAGAAGAGAAGTCGTTCTGGGTGCCAGACGCAAAGATTACGTGGCTCGGTTATGAGTGCGACCTGGTCGCGAGAGAGGTTCGTGGAACCGAGAAGAGAATGGCCAAGTGGCAGGTTGCTCTTGAGGAGCTGAGGAGGAGCGTGGCTCCAACGGTCCTGGACCGTATGAAGTTTTTGGGATGCCTGGCATCATTTGAGCTTGTTGCAGGAGACGTTGGTGTTGGCAGAGCACGGTCGATCATGCAGACGGTTGGAGAGAGTCAGAGGAAGAAGAGTGAGCCGGCAACAGTGAAGAAGAAGAAAACTCCAGGTGAGGAGAGAGAAATTGAGTTTTGGAGAGAGCGAGGCACAGAAGTATTGAAGAGAAGCATAGTGGAAATTGAGCCAGAATTTGATTTATTTTTGTACACTGATGCTTCGGCGCGAGGAATAGGAGCGGTGCTTAAGAATGAGAGAGATGATGTTTTGTGGAAAATGTCGGAATTAGGCGATAGCGACTTTGAAGGACAGTCTAGCGCTTGGAGAGAAGTGACGGCAGTGAAGAGAGCGGCAGAGGAGCTAGTCGGGAAGGTTAATGGAAATATACAAGTACTTGTGGACAGTCAGGACGCTGTGAGTGTGTTGAGAAGAGGTTCTATGAAGCCAGAGCTGCATAAGTTAGCTGAAAAAGTGTGGGAAGACTTGAGTATGATAGGAGAAAGTCAATTTTTGTGGATTCCAAGAGAACAGAACGTGGACGCGGACGAAGCGAGCAGAAATTTTGATTTTGATGACGGGGGAGTGGCAGACAGAGTTTTCAGACAAGCGCAGAGATTGTGGGGAGAGATAAAAGTTGATTGGTTCGCTGATGCGAATAACAGAAAGACATAGGTATATTTTTCTAGATATCCCGAGTTCGGAACGTCTGGCGTCAACGTCTTCGACCACATCGAGAGGGCAGAGAGGATGGGATGTGCTTGGTGGGTGCCACCTCCAGTGCTGATACCGCACTTGTTGAAAATTGGTAGAAAAAGAAGGCTGAGGGGCGTTTTAGTAGCTCCATTGTGGCGGAGTCACGCGTCATATCAGGCCCTTGTTGATCATTCGAGAAGATTCATTAGAGCTATTTAAGATTACATTATTTATGAGAAGAATGACAACATTTTTATTCCGGGTGAAGGCTCCAAACATTGTGAAGCCACAAATTCTAAATACTGTAGATCTGAGTTCATTTTAGCGCTAGTTGACTTCTCTCGATAGGCCCCAGGCTTTGTACATTTTTCTACCTTATTATTACCCCGTTAAACCTAAATTTAATAAACACGTGACATAAAATTCCTTTTTCGTAGTGATGAAACAGAAAAACATATTCTCTTGTAACGTAGAGGAAAGAGAATATTATGTTTTTCGTTGAAGAGCGGAGAAAAAGGACGCGCGAGATTAAAGGCGCACACACTTTCCAGGCGCCGCGGGTCTCGAAGCGATCATGCCCGAACGGGCATGAAACTCGAATTTCGAAATCATTCTACGTGTTTTAACGAGTCACCCAGCCCACCCACCCGGGAAAAAGAGAAAAAGAGAAAAAGAAAAATGAGAGGGAAAAGAGATTAACTATATTTTCAGAAGGAGCCAAAAGACAGTTCGTCGAGGAACTCAAGCAGAAGGCAGGAGAAGGGTTTGAACGCCACATCGAGAGACTCAAGATGATTCCGTTCGAAGCCAAAGCTACGTCCACGGCTGCCGCTTACAAGGCAGAGAACGACAAGAGAAATTCGTGGATTTCTCAGAAGAAGCTTCCAATGGACGAGTCGTCATTTCTGTTATACTTGTTGGACAGAGCTAAGCAAATCGGGAGTAGTGCTTTGGCGAAGATCTCGGCTGCCTATCAAATAGCAAATGAAGGCATTTCATCCATCGGAGCGTCTTTTGTGTCAGACATCATCAAGTCAAAAAGAAGAGAGGAAAGCTAAAGAAAGAAGTAGTGAAGGTGACTATGGAGGATGTGCAGAAGATCACAATGTTGGCAATGAAAGAAGACAGTCCGGAGAGGGATCGAGATGCGTTGCTGGCAATTCTATCGTTCGATGTCATGCTAAGAGCATCGGAAGTGAGATCAAGTGGGCAGGGGTAACACAGAAGGACGGGATGATTGAGGTGCATGTAGAGAAGGCAAAGAATGACCAGTTGAGACTTGGAAGACGTTCGTTTTTCAACTACGAGCCAGTCAGCGATGCGGACATCTTGATGTGCCGATGGAGACTTCGAACCAAAGGAAAGTGTCCATACGTCTTTTCACACCTGGACGGTTCGAAGAAGCTCTCGAAACAAGCCATTTCGACGCTCTCGACGAAGATGCTGGCAGCGATCGGGAAGCCGGGAGCGACTCATCACTGCTTCAGAAGAGGAGGAGCCAACCACATGAGGAGAATCGGGCATTCAATGGAGGAAATTCAATGCAGAGGAAGATGGAGATCGGCGGCAGGACTTCAGCGGTATCTCACTGATGTTCCAACAGCTCAAGGATGTCTACAGTCCCAGGCAGAGTTCGACGACGAGGACGAAGATTAATAATCCTGTAATATTTATAGGTCTAAATTGTTTTACTAGCTGTTTGTTGTGTTATACTAACTCCTCATAGATTATTATGTTCTATCAAATCTCAATTTTCTTTTGATCTCCCAAACATTTTCTCCCGATCTCCTATACCGTTTTCTCCCCGAATTCAAATTATTGATTTTATTGTAATATTTCTTGATTCCTTCCCGAGTGTGTGTGAGTTGCCACACTCGCTTGTATGTGTCTGTATCCTTTATACGACCTTATTATTACCACGTTAAACCTAAATTTAATAAACATGTGACATAAAATTCCTTTTTCGTAGTGATGAAACAGAAAAACATATTCTCTTGTAACGCAGAGGAAAGAGAAAAATCCTTATTTTAAAACTTCTGAAAAAATTCACATAGACAAATCCACCTGCCGCCAAAAAATCAAGCGAGCCAAGAATAGGAGATCAGTGTTTGAGATTATCACTTTATCCGAAGACGAGTCTTCAAAATGTTCATCAATCGATATTGTCAGTACTCAAAAGCGGAAATTCTTCTGCTACCCTACTTAAAACGCAAGTACTCCGGAACTCAGAAGCGCTTCTGAAACACAGTTTCGGTGTTATCTGCTCGTAAAAGTTCGAGAAACAGCTCATCCATGGCTTTGGTTAAAACATCGGCCAGCTCAGGAGCACTTCAGAATGCGAAAGGTAAGTTTTTTTGGGGATTATAATCAGTAAGAAAGCCTAGGAGTTGTTTCTAACTATCCCTTTCGTTTGAAAGCACAAACTCCTAGAATCTCAAGATCTGGCCCAATTTTTATAACTTCCTAGAAAAAGTAGCAAAAAAAGTTCAACTGACAAAATCTCTCCGATATTACGAGAACTAGTTTGTCAATTGACTTTTTTCAAATATTTGTCATAAGATAAATTTGGCTCAAAGCTGACAGTCAGGGTGAACTATCAATAGAGTTTTCAATGAAATTTTTAAGAAAAATATTTGAACAAAGTTAGATTCTCTAGTTTCGGATTCAGAAAAATACAAATGTATTTCGCAATGGATATTAGAATATCACAATTGAATTAATAATATTTTCCAGTTTTCAGGCATCCGAATCATTAAAACCGACATCATCGCGGGAGATAACGTCGATGTCGAAGGACCTTCAAGCTTTTCCGGTGGTCTTGGAGAGATCAGAATCCAACCGAGATGTATGGTATTTAATGCTCCATACATGTTCTATCAAAAGAATAGAATGATGAACCCGAATGACTCGATCCGTCATATGGCACTCAGAATCACGTTTTCGAATTCACACAGACATTTCGCCGAGGACGACACTGGGACCTCCGGATAATTTTCATACGTTTAACAATTGCGCAAGTTTTGTATTCAATCAGAATGTCATTGAGAAACATCAGATTATCATTCAATAGACAAATGTTCCACGTGGAGTCAAAGAATTCAGTCATCATGATTGGTATGAAGGAGATCCAATAGATGGGAGAATGACTGTTCAAGTGAAGTATAATTATTGATTATTGTTTTGATTTCTTTTTTGGTTTGATTTTTATTTCTTTTTTATTGTGTAGGTTGTTTTATTGTGTAGGTTATATATTTTGGAGATTGAAGAACTCCATTATCGTTTGAAAATCTTCAAAGCTCTATAACTCGCTAAGAATCAATTTCCGGCAAAAATGTAACAAGAACTACCCCGGCTAAATATTTGAGATCTTTCTCGTGGATACCAAAACAGAAAACCTACGAATTCAGAAAAACGTTAATATCTCTATCAAGACGTAATGAAAACCAACGCAGTAACCTGAAATAGGTAGATAAATGATGCACCCTGGTTTCCCAGTATTTGAAAACTGTCCAATATCATCAGGAATGGCTGTACTATACCTGGAGAAAGGTTTTTTCTTACACAGGAAGAGAAAATTTATATATGAGAAAAGGAGGTGAGAAAAATGCTTACGACCATATCACGTTGAATGCACGCCATCCCGTCCGATCTGGCAAGTTAAGCAACGTTGAGTCCAGTTAGTACTTGGATCGGAGACGGCCTGGGAATCCTGGATGTTGTAAGCTTTTTGATTTTTTATATTCAATTGTATAAATATGAATTGTGATTCCTGATATTGATTTTTAGTTTTTTTCGGTTTTGAATAAAAAATTTCTATATTTTTGCCAGGTCGGTTTAATTACCCAAGTTTGAGTATTAATATAGGTATTTGTCATCATTTTTGCCAGGTCGGTTTAATTACCCAAGTTTGAGGTAGACGGGCGGAGTGTTGTACCCAATTCTCAGATAATACACAGTAGCATAGTGGCCAACGCGGGCCTCGATCGGTGTCGGGTGCTGGGAAATGTGAAGAGGGGAGACAACGCTTTCAGCTTTGGTTTAATTACCCAAGTTTGAGGTACTTTGCGTTTTCGACCTAAAGAAATTTAGAGTTGATAACAAATTTTGGAACGTCCCCTTTCGGGGAGACAAAAAATCTAAAGAAATTAAAAATTGGTCAACTATGAACCGAGTTATGATTTTTTGAAATTTTGAAAAATTCCTCTTTTTTTTCAATTTTCAAATTCTCAATTTTCATCGACGTTATTTTTTTCTTACACAGGAAGAGAAAATTTATATATGAGAAAAGGAGGTGAGAAAAATGCTTACGACCATATCACGTTGAATGCACGCCATCCCGTCCGATCTGGCAAGTTAAGCAACGTTGAGTCCAGTTAGTACTTGGATCGGAGACGGCCTGGGAATCCTGGATGTTGTAAGCTTTTTGATTTTTTATATTCAATTGTATAAATATGAATTGTGATTCCTGATATTGATTTTTAGTTTTTTTCGGTTTTGAATAAAAAATTTCTATATTTTTGCCAGGTCGGTTTAATTACCCAAGTTTGAGG